ATGGAACAGAGCTTGAGGACAGAGAGAGCCTGGAGCCAGAGGGTGGGAGTCAGGAGAGCGCAGAGTGCAAGGGGGCTGCCAGGCGGGCAGGGCAAGCCTATGGGATGTACGCACCAGGCATGCTCTAGAGTAGGGAGAGGAACCTTATGGAAAGAATCCATAGAGTGCCCCAGCTGAGCCAGTGCGGGGGTGGGGGTAGGAGGAGGAGGCTGGGGAAGACAGAGCGACAGCAGGAGCCCTGCCCCTGCCTCGTTCTGAGAGGCCAGAGCCCCCTCACCTTCAGGCCCACAGGGACAGGGTGCTGTCATTCTCCATCAGCCCCCTGACCCTGCCTGGCCCACTCCAACCCAACTCCCTGCCTGTTCCAGGCTCCCTACCCTTTCCTCCCTTGGACAGCAGGAGGGAGGAGCGTTGGACTTCTTGATGAACTGCCTGCCCCAGGAACCACAGCCCCGACACGGGGCTTGGGAGCTGGGGCTCATCCCACCGGCTCCCCTGCTGCTGTGCACACCTGACTGTCCACTCAGCACTTGGGGCTAAATGGAGCACAGGCCTAGGCCTCTGGGCTCTCTGAACATGGGGTGTCCCTCCTCCAGGATCGAGCGGATCGTCACCCCACGCCTGGCACTGACCACTGCTGAGTTCCTTGCCTACCAGTGTGAGAAGCACGTGCTGGTCATCCTGACTGACATGAGTTCCTATGCAGAGGCCTTGCGGGAGGTGAGGCAGCCTGGGAAGAGTGTCGGGGTCATGCCTGCCTCTCCCTGGTCCCTCTACCCTGAAACTCATCCATCCAAGCCTGACGCCGCTCACTCTGTTTCTCAGTCACTGAACCTCCCACTCAGCCTCTTGCCCCCTCTCTTAGCCCAGTGACACTGACGTTGCAGGTCTCAGCTGCCAGAGAGGAGGTGCCGGGGCGCCGAGGCTTCCCGGGGTACATGTATACAGACCTGGCCACCATCTATGAGCGGGCCGGCCGCGTGGAGGGCCGGGGAGGGTCCATCACTCAGATCCCCATCCTCACCATGCCCAATGACGGTGAGTCTCTTGGCTGCCCACTGCCCTGTGCAGCCCCCTGCCCTCCCTTCTCACTGGGATGCTTAAAGGGCCCGTGGTTTTCTGCACAGATGTGCAGTAGCTCTGTTTCTCCATCAGGGGATTCTCTTGTCTTCTCCTTGCCTCCACATACCTCATCACTCCCATGAGAGGAACAGAGCCCAGGCGTCCTTGAGCTGTTGGAGACGTGTGCCCCGTCTACACTGACACCACTGTATTTCCTTGCAGATATCACCCACCCAATCCCAGACCTGACGGGCTTCATCACGGAGGGACAGATCTACGTGGACAGACAGCTTCATAACAGACAAGTATTGTCCCCTCCCCTACGACTTATTGCTCTGCTCACAACCCCAGAGACACTGATGGACAGATGTCCCAGCACTTACAGAGCTTTAGTTCTCTGTCAATTAGGAGGGGGTGGGCAAGGCTACCTCCAAAGAGGAAAAGAGGAGACGACCCAGGAAGACTGTGTGGTCACAGACACAAGACAGGTCTGGCTAGAATCCAGACCACCTGCCTGTGGGAACCTTGAGAAAATTATCTCATCCTTCTGATGCTAGGTTTCCTCATCTATAAAACAGAAACTGACCACTCAGTGGAGTGCACTGCAGAGGATACAATCAGTTGGCATATAGAAAGCCTCCAGCAGATAGTAGATACTCAATAAATACCGCTTCTCTTTGCTTTCCAGTGATATGCTCAGTGAGCAAAACAGTGGGTAACTGACACAAGTAGATGGTGAATAATGTGCCAGCAGGTTACAAATGTGCCTGTTCCATCTGAGGTTAAAGGCAGCCCCCTGTGACTTTTCCCTCTGCTTAGTAGCTTCCTTCTTTACAGCTATTAACTATTAAGCTTCAACCTGGTTTTTGTCCAAATAATCAAAGGTTTTAAAATAGTGACTTCCATTACCTAATGTCATGTCCTGTCCCCCCTCCACCCTCCTGTCTAGGAGCATACCTTAGACACCTGTATGCCCAAGCTCTAGAACTGTGGGCGATAGAGGAGGGTGGCGTGACTAACCCCCTCTCTGTGGGACAAGTGAGCAGCAGTCTCTTGAGCACCCCAGGGAGAGGAGAGACAAGTAGGGGTAGAAAGGAAAGGAAACTCTGGACCCTGCCTTCTGCCACTTCCTTCTTCTGCTTCCCCAGATCTATCCTCCCATCAATGTGCTCCCTTCCCTGTCGCGGCTGATGAAGTCTGCCATTGGGGAGGGCATGACGAGAAAGGACCACGGAGACGTCTCCAACCAACTGGTAAGCACGAGAAAGCCCAGGGACTGGAGGGTATGCTAGTTTCAGAAGCCAGAGGTTTGAGCCCTTCCTGGACCACGAGCTGTTCTCCAGCAAAATCCCTCCCCTTTTGGGGTCTCCAGTCAGCCAAACTGGGGCCCACTGGGCTCCCGTGATACGCCTGCGGTGACGGCTGGACCGTTCTCCCCTTCACCTAGTATGCTTGCTATGCCATCGGGAAGGACGTGCAGGCCATGAAGGCAGTGGTGGGGGAGGAAGCGCTCACTTCGGAGGACCTGCTCTATCTGGAATTCCTGCAGAAATTCGAGAAGAACTTCATCAACCAGGGTGAGGCGCGCTCGGGGTGTGCAGGCAGTAACCCCCTTACCCGGCCACATACACGCGCGCACACGCCTAACCCTCCTGCTCCGACCCTAGGCCCCTACGAGAACCGCTCGGTGTTCGAGTCCTTGGACCTGGGCTGGAAGCTGTTGCGCATCTTCCCGAAGGAGATGCTGAAGCGCATCCCGCAGAGCGTGCTCGAGGAGTTCTACTCCCGCGAGGGGGCGCCGCAGGACCCCGCTTCTGACACTGCGCTCTAGCCCCGCCCACAGGCGGATCCCGGCGCTCCATCCCGGGAGCCCCTGCTCTACGCCAGTTCTACAACCACCTCGGTGTCTGCCAAGGTCCCGCACACCTGAACCAACCGCTTGAGTGCCCACTGTCAGCCCCCCGCCGGCTTAGGGCGGGAGGCGGGCTCCTACGCTTCATCCCTCCCCCTGGATTCCCTGCACTGGGAAAGAACAAAAGGTTGTTCCGCCTGTATTAAGCTTGGGATAATCACCTGGAGAGCTTTACAGAATACCAAGGCCCAGGCTCCAAACCAGATCAGTTGATCTGAATCTGGAGGCAGAAGTCCTCTGCATTGGTATTCGCGCCCCGCCCCCCCACCCCGGCCCCAGGTACAGCTGGAGTTGCAACCAATAGTATAGACACTGCAATAACCCAGGTGTAGATAATGAGGGTGAACTTGAAGAGGTCCTGAGACACTCTCCAACCCTGACATATAGATACAGTTTTGTTGTCATTCTTAGGACCCTAATACCTCAGAAGCAACAGCCCACAGAATCCCCCAACTGCCAGGAAATGCTCAAGCTTTGTCCCTGCAAAGCATTGTCACTTTATCTTAATTTGAAGCCAGGTGTTAAGGGCCCCCTTGGGGCAGATGCCCAGTAGAATTTGCTAGTTTTTAAAGTGCTCAGGAGGGCTGCTGACTCCTTCAGACCGCTGGGGTTGGGAGGTGAGTGGGTTCCCAGAGGAGGTTTTCCCTGGAATGAGGGAGAGCTGCTTTGGGTGAAGAATCTGCATTTTTGTCCCTCCCTGAGTCACTGTGGTCTTGGGAGACCCTCCCCCCTCCTTAGATTTCTCTGGGGGAAATACCAGGAATGATGGGGCCCAGAGGGGAGTAGGTAGTTAGAAGTGGGTGGTATGATCAGGGATACCTAGAGTTGACCCCTGGGACCTCAGTAAACCTCTGATAAGCTTGGGGTCATTCCCCCTGAGAAGACCCAACACTGAATCAAGCCACATGATTGCTTGACTACCATATACCATAAAAACTTAAAAGGCAAACTGAGGAAAACACTGACAACAAATACTACCATGTTAATAAATTTTACAAATCCAATAAGAAACACTTTAAGACCCTCACAGAACAAAGAAACAGATAATTCCCTGAAGAGAAAAACACTGATATTTAATTGTTTAACTTTTTGGTAAGTCATCAAGGAGTCAAATTAGAACATTTCCACTACCAAATTATTAGCAAATGTTTATTTAAAATCACAGTATTCAGCACTGGTGATGAGGTTTTCAAGTAGTTCCTCTTTTAATAATAGAAAATTCTAGATGGCTGGCCTGGTCTCCCTGCTCCCCTGGCTTCCCTCCTTCTGAAGTAGGTAGTAGTAGTTGCATTTTGCTGATGCAGAATCTGAGACACAGAGGTCAAGTAACTCACCCGAAGTCCCATGGCTCATGTGCAGGGAACCTGCTTCACTGCAGGGAAAAGTGTAAATGAGTATAAAACTTTGCTGGTGGGCAATTTGGAAACACTAACAATTAAAAATGTTCATTCCCTTTCACCTAGTAATTCTGCTTCCGGGAAATCCATCCTAAGAAAATGACCAAGATGAATCCTTTTTTCCTGCTGCATGTGTGAAATGATAGCACATTGTGACGCTGGGCTGCGGCGGCGTCATAATGTCGTTTAGCATATGGCATGACAGTGGATGCTAGTTCTTAATAATTAACGCTAAACAGAAAGTACAAACAAAAGGTCTGTACGATATGTATGTACACATCGTCATAGACCGTGATTTCTGTGGGTGGTGGGACTGTGATTTTTAATTTCCTCATCGTCCTTTTTCTCTGTTTTTACAATCAGCACTTATTAATTTAGAATTAGAAACAAACCCCAAGTGTCTTCCGGTTTGTGTGTGTGGTCGATGCTGTTTCCACGACGAGTGGGCCCGGGCTCCCCGGGGAGGGGGGCGGGTGAGCGGCGGCAGGATCTCCCGGAGGCGCGGGGCGGGCCCCTGGAGACGCGGGTAGCGGCTAGGTCCGCGGAGGAGCGGGTCTGGCGGCAGCCTGTGTTAGCCTCGGCGGGTGGGCGGCGCGGGCCGGCGGGCAGGGCGCGCCGAGGGTGGGGGAGTAGTCCCCGCGCCCAAGTGTAGCCATGCTGCCGGGGGAGAAAGTCTACAAGGTCAGCTGGAGTGGCCCGGAGTCCCAGTCGCCCAGGTGGGCCGGGGATGAGGGGGCCGGGCTGCGGGGACTCTCTGGAGGGGCAGGGTCCCGAGCGGGCGGGAGCCCTTGGGCGGCGCGAGGAGCCCGGAGAACGGGGCGGGGGTCCGGGTTCGCCTCCCCAGGGGTGCTCGGCGATGGTGGCTTCCTCCTTGCGCTGCCGACCAGCGAGCCCCGGTCCGGTCTCGGTGCTCAAGGACAGCCCTCACTCTCACGCACGCGCCTCCGCAGGGCCGCCGGCCCAGACCCAGACTCCACTTTCTCGCTCACCAGCCCTCTCCCAACCCACACTAACCCTGACGATGAGGGGAAACAGAGTGTCGCTGGGAACTACTACGAGCTGTTCGCGGCCGCACTGGGCAACTTGGAATGGTTGCGCTTCTGTCTGAGTCGGGGTCGTGACAAAATTCCGGCAGATGACAAGGTAAGGCCTTGGAGCTTGGGGGCAAGAAATGAAGTCCTCTGTACCACAGAAAGTTCCTCACATAGTGGTTCCCTGGCAAAGAGCTGCCTGTGGAGCACCCACAGATACCCTTTTGGGTGCAGTCACCTTCTACCGGCAGAAATTGCTCTGTAGTTTAGGTTATGACCCTGGGGCCTCAGTCCTGCTCAGTCTCCTCCTACCCTCCTCCCGCTCCCACAGGGCTTCACTGCCATCCACTTTGCAGCCCAGAGTGGCAAGCTCACGTGCCTGCAGGCCTTAGTAGAGGAGTACAAGTTTCCCGTGGACCTGCCCACCAAGAATGGCCAGACACCGCTGCACCTGGTCATCGACGGGGACAACAAGAGCATGACCCTCCCCTGCATTCACTATCTACTTGAGCAAGGGGCGGCCCTCAACACGTGAGTCCAGCCTGTGTCCAGAAAGTGTCCTGGAGCCTGGGCAGATAGGAATCCCCCCCTTCCCCCCATCAGGTAGGCAGATCCATGCAGGCCAGGCAGAGGGCTTCAGGGTGACAAGGATCTGGTCCCCCATAAAGCAGTCAGCGAGCCCTCACGGTGTGATAAGGAGATCAGGCTCTGGGAGGGGAAAGACCCAGTTCACATCTCAGCTTTGCCATCTGCTAGCAAACAGCAAGACCTGCGGGAGGTCACTCCGCCCTTAGCCTCAGTGCTCTGGCTCCCAAGCCTGTCAGTTTGCCGGAGTCCCACGTGGAGCTTCAGAAAGAGCAGTGCCTGTGTGTCAATCAAAGGCCAAAATTGGTGCAGGGTGCCGTCTGGGCTTTGGAAGGCCTAAAACCCAGAGGTTTCTAATTGGCAGCATAGTTTGGGAACTATTTCCTGAGTGTCCTCAACTGCAATGTGGGAGGATGACACGAGACTATTGTGGCTAACAGAGGAAATGCATGAAAGTGCCCGAACGGCCTATGGGAGACTGCGCTCGCTCACATATACAGAGCGCTTTGTGCTCAGTGCCATGCCCAAGTTGAATACAGCAGTGAAGACACGCAAATGGCCCCAGCCCTCACGCAGCTGGGGTACTAGTGCAGCAGCACAGTGAGGTAGCACACTAATAAATGAACAAAGCGACAGTGTAAGTAGTTACAAAGGAAATACACAGGGTGATGAGCTGATGAGTGCGAGGGGTAGGGGAGAGGATCTATTTTGGAAAGGGAAGTCACATCTAAGGAAATAACATTTAAATTTTTTTTAACATTTTATTTATTTGACAGAGATCACAAGTAGGCAGAGAGGCAGGCAGAGAGAGATGGGGGGAGAAGCAGGCTCCCCGCTGAGAGAGAGCAGAGAGCCCAATGCAGGACTCGATCCCAGGACCCTGAGATCATGACCTGAGCCGAAGGCAGAGGCTTAACCCACTGAGCCACCCAGGCACCCAGGAAATAACATTTAAATAGAAACCTGAAAACTGAGAGCAAGCCAGCCATGCAAAGAGCCAGGGAAAAGTGTCCCAGGTAGAGGGAACACCATGTACAAAGATCACATGTTGGGAAAGAGTGGGGCAAGGTCAGAAGATGAGGGTGAGGAGGAGGCAGGGCCTAGGTCATGCAGGCCTTGTGTGCCTGGCCAGACGGGGGAGAGGGCAGGAGGGCTGGCTGACTTAAGAGCCAGTAAGGTTAGTAGCCTCTGAGCTCCAGCCAACCCAGCTCTCCTTCCAGCGATCTTAACTCTTTTTATATCCATATAATCAAGCTCCCACCATTCATTTAGTCCAAACCCTCCTTCTACGGTTGAGGAAATTGAAGCTCAGGGAAGAAGGGACATGTCAGAGTCACCCAGTAGGCTAGTGGCAGAGCAGGCCCAGAAGCTGGCCTGCCCACCTCTCTAATGGGCAGATGGCCTTTGTCCTTCCTTTCTGCCCTCTTCCTGGCCGGTGGGGCTGTCTACAGGCAGACATGCAGTGGCTGCACACCCCTCCACCTGGCAGCCTGCAAGGGCCTGCTGAGCTGTGTGAAGGTGCTGGTGCAGAATGGTGCCAATGTCCATGCCCGGGACGCCCTGGGCTGCAAGCCCATCGACTACTGCAAAATATGGAACCACCGCGACTGTGCCCGGTGAGGGTGTGGGAAGCACCCTTGGCCTGCTGCCCCTTCTCTCCTTCCCAGCCCTTTCCCTGGGGCCCTCACCTAAGGCTGAGACTTTACCAGGAGGGGCTGGGCTGGAAGCTAAGTCTGCGGCGGAGACCACCGCCCAGGTTATTATTCCCAGGGCTGTCCACAGGGCCTCACCCCTTTGGGTTTAGCACTGCTCTGCCTTGCCCGGAGGCCTTGGGTCCTCTGCAGGGGTTGGTGATCACACTGTCAGACACCCTCCTCTCTCACCTAGAAGGAGAGAAGTTAGTCAGACGGGCCTTGGGCCGTGGGGATGGCTCCTCTGGTGGCTCCTCCCACCCTCATCCAGGCCCTGAGCAGCTGCCTGTGTTCCCAGCCTGGGGTGAAGCTCAGTCCCTGGGGGAATAACGTACCTTGCCCCCCCAACCTTGGCATTAGGTACTTGAAGGATGCCATGTGGAAACGGGACAAGAAGGACTTCGCTCGTGAGATGGGGAAACTGAAGAGGCTCAAGGACCAGTTGGCCTTCATGGAACAGGACTACCTGACTGAGTATCAGGTAAGGGGGAAGGTGGCCAGGGGCGCCGGGCAGCCACTGCCACCCACGCAGGTGAGCACAGGAGGCCTGACTCACGTGCCGTTAGAAGAGTGGTTGGTAGCAGTCCCATCCGGGAAAAGCCTCCCTCTCCTCATCCTCTGAAATTCCACCCTTAAAAGCCACTCCTCTAGGTCAAAAGTCTTATTTTGTGTTAGAGAGCAAATACAGCTTAAATTAGCAAGAACTACGGCACCCCTCCTAGTGCATTGCCTCCTGGATTGGAGGGAAATCTCTAGCGAGATGCATGTCCTGCCTACACTGGGAGTCACACTGGTCAAAAAGGTCCACCCTGGGGCGCCTGGGTGGCTCAGTCAACGCCTGCCTTTGGCGCAGGTCAGGATTCCAGAGTCCCAGGATCAAGCCCCGCATTGGGCTCCCTGCTCACTGGAAAGTTTGCTTCTCCTTCTGCCCCTCACCCTGCTTGTGCTCTCTCTCTCAAATAAATAAATAAATACATAATCTTAAAAAAAAAAAAAAAATCCATCCTTTGGGGCATGTGGCTCACTCAGTGGGTGGAGCATGTGACTCCTGATCTCGGGGTTGAGAGTTCAAGCCCCATGCTGGGTATAGTGATTACTTAAAATAGTCTTAAAAAAAAAAAAAAACCCATCCAACAGACACTGAGCACCTCCTCTTGGCTAGGCACCTGCTGGACCCTGAGGCTACAAAGACAAATGAGATGTGGTCCCTTCACTTAAGGAGCTTAAGGTCTAGAATGGGAGGTGGGTTATATTCCCACAGAGGAGGAAGGGTCCAGGAGGATGCTGGAGAGATTAATGCTTTGGAGGATCTTTAAGGGTGGGCAGCAGTTGGCTATATGAAGGGAAGGGCTGACGAGGCAGAAGGAACAGACAGCCCTGTGGAGAGGCACAGAGGTAGAGCGTGGTATATGCTGAGAAGTACAAAGTCAATACAGCTAAGGGAACGGCTGTGAGCTGGAGATTGACAAGCTAGAAATTTGGGAGGGGCTCAGATGTATGACAGCCCTTGGCTGGCGAAGAATGGGGGAGTAGCTAAAGGATTTTAAGGAGGTGTAATGACACAGGATGCAAGAGCCAGAAAACCCAGAGAAGATGCTGGGAATCCTAAGTGGATCCAGAAGTGGGGAGGGCTTCAGGGCTGGCACAATCCAGTATGTAGCTTGGTTTCCAGGTGCATGTCTCTCCAGTTTTCTCAGCCCTGCCCCAGTCCTCATAGTCCCATGGGTCCAGAGGAGGCAAAGCTCATCTGTTCCCATGGCTCTTAACTTTCCCAGAAGCCCCTTACAGATCTCCCTTATCTCTTTGTGGCCTCGGTTGGATCCTGGGTCTATTCTGTTCCAACTCCTGGAGCTAAAGGAAAGCCAGGTACTGACTGACCTGGGTCTGGGGCAAGGCTGATGCAATTATGATGATTGGCTTAGTCTAATCAGAGCCTACCTCGGGAGCTGCTGCGTCAATCCCCATACCGATGGCTTAGCAACAGTCTGGGGGGTGAGATACTGAAACAAGGGTGTGGACAAGGGGCTGTTCTATGACCCGCTGAAAGTTCACTTCTAGTAGAGGCAAAAAGAGAGAGGTAGACAGAGTCATGAGCCTCCAGCCCAAAGAGCCAGCCAACTATATCCCCCAATATACAAGGTCCACCACTTCCAGAAGCCTATCCAGACTGGCTCCCCCCAGTTCCAGGCCTTCCAAAGCTTTCTGCTTTCTTCCGGGGTCGAGGATGTGCCTTTCCTCCCCCATCAAACCAGAGACTCTCTCAGGGCAGGCCATATCTCCACTATCAGATGGGGGACTGTGGAGGTGGAGGCTTGTCTCCCCCATGAGACTTGAGGTTTTCCATAGGGCAGGGACTGGAGACCTCACTTAGGGCAGAGGCCCTGTCAGACTGGCAGTCCCCTGGATGGGAGAGCTGCTACTTGCCCCATCAGCCCAAGGGCTCCCTTTGGGCAATAGTTCTCTCCCTGTCAGAAAAAGGGCAGAACAAAGGCCCATCAGGCAGGAAGTCTGTCTCATCAAACTTAGGCCTCCTGGGGTGTGGCTGTTTCTGGCCAGTGACACCTGAGGTTTCCAAGGGCTACAGCCACAAGAGCCCCTTCTATGGGAGCAGGGAGGAGGGGCAGCCCTCCATGACTGTCTCTGTCTCGTACCCTCTGATGTTGCAGAAAGAGCACCAAGTTCTGAGAGAAGCTGACTGCAAGAAGTGGCTCCATCGCAAGCAGCTGCTCCGAGGCCAGTCCCAGACTTGCAACACCAAGCAAGCACCTTATGCTCCCCAGCCGGCGAGCACGGTCTCCAGGACCCCCAAGCGCCAGGGGCCCCAGAAGAGCTTCTACCCCTCCCCGGAGGCACGCCTGTGGCAGACCTCAGTGCCCAAGCTGCAGCCTTCGGGGATACCCACCCCCACCTACATGCAGCCCATGGTCAGGCGGCCCAAGTCGTGGAATGTTAGCAACAACCCTGCCAGATCGCCCACCACCCAGATCGGCTACCCACAGGGCATCCGCCTGGGTGTGCATCCGGACCCCAGCCCGGAGCATGACTTCCGCAGCTTCCTCGAGGTGAGGTCTGACCGGTACGGCGGTGTACAGCTGCGTACAGTGGCCGGCAGCCTCGTAGCACCTGTGCCCCAGCTGCCTTTCGAGGTGGTAGTCCAAGAGCTGCATCCTTCAGTGCGGCCACACAGGTTGAAAGTGCCCCAGGGCTTCGGCCCTGTCAGCATGAGCACTGTGCCCCAGAAGCGGCACTTTAGTGACGACAACTTTTGGACCGACACTCTGGCCATGAACCTGCGTGAGACCTTTGATGAAGCCTTCCTGGCCACTGTGCGAGCCCATCAAGGGCTCCCCACTCTGCCCTCCCCCAAGAATCTCCCATAAACTTATTTTGGTAGAGTCTCAATCTGAGGCAGCCCAGTGAGGGCTGAGGTGTGGTGATTCACGATGGGGTTGGAAGGGAGAGGAGTACCCACAGGCTTCCCACTTCCCGCTCCCAAGCTTAAAGATCGGAGCCCCTTCTCTTTCAACAAAAGCCTAGATCCCAGGACTCCCTTCTCCAAGAAGAAATGTCTTGGATTCCCCAGGAGGATGAAGCTAGGGCGGAGGCCTCAGAGTGGGCATCAGTCTCTATCCTGGGCACTTGCATTGTAAAAGTGACACTTTGGTGTCCCCACTATCTCTCCTCCCCACCACGAGCAAGGCTTCGAGGATGGGGGAACCACTGGAAAAGTCTGCCTCTTGTTCAGATGAAGTCCTTCAAGGTTTCTGTAGTTCAGGGAGGCATAAGCAGCATACGTTGGGGGAAGGGAGGGAGGACCTGTGGCTTCAGTTTCGGCTATACAAGCACTTGTACTTCTTCCAGGAAGCTGTCCTGGGTCCCCTGTTATGCCCTGGACGCATCACTACAAATTGTTCATTAAACAAACATTTATTGAGTGCTTTCTATGTACCGGGCACCAAGCCAGGCACTGCTGATACAAAAACTGAAGGGCAGTCCCTGCCCTCAAGGAGCTTACAGTCTAGTGGGGAGATAGACCAGTAAGCAGCCAAGTAAGCCTAGAGTGATCCGTGTGGTGTTCTGAGGGGAGAGGGGACAAAGCTTAGAGTAAGGGAGATCTAAGTTGAGAACTGACTGAGAAGGTACCCAGGTGAGCAGAAAGGGGAATCAAAGTGGCATCTCTGAATAGGAGGTGGGGACACAGGGTGCAGGGTGGCAAGTGATGAGTCCAGAGAGGTGAGTAGGAACCAGACATCACAAGTCTCACAAGCCATGCTAAGGGGTCTGGACTTTAACCTGAGGGCAATAGGGAGCCATGGAAGGTTGTAGGCCAGGAAGTGAGTTGATCATCTATACATTTTAGATAACTCTGGCTGTGGGACAGAAAAGGAGGCTGTCAAAATAATCAGGGTGTAAGCTGATGACTGTGGGTGTGGCTCAAGTCAAGAGATGTTGGGAAGGTAAACTTAACAGTTTTTAGAGATCAGATGGCAGGGGGAGGGGCAGAAAGAGAAAGCAGGGCTAGAAAGCAGGTTTCTGGTCTGGCTCCTGAGCAGTCTTGGGGCCACGGCAGGTACCCAAAAGAGGCAGGTTTGCAGAGGACAGGAACAAGTGCCCTCTGGGCCATGAGAGTTGTCTGTGCACCCAAAGGCAGAACAGTAGTTCAGAAGATCAGGAGGGATGCTGGGGCCGGAGGTCAACTCTCAGTTCCTCGGCAAAGAGTCCTTGAAGCCATCAGCATGGATGGGCTCCTCCAGGGAGCCCACAACAGAACCCTGAGAAACCCCATGGTGCATGGGGCAAATGGAGAAGCCTGCACAGGAAACTGAAAGGAAGAGCAGAGGTAGGAGAAGACCAGCCACAGGAGAGCCAGGGAAGTGCAGTTCAAGAAGCCGGGGCTGACGGGCCCTGTCAGGTGCTGCAGCGATCCAGTATAAGGTATGAAAGGGTCCACTGGGTTTAGCACGAGAAGGCCACTGGCAACCCCTGGGAGAGAAGCCCTACTGTTGGGGTGAGGAACAAAGGACACGGCAAGGGAGAGCAGAGCCGGCTGCTGACCCAGCAGTGAGGATGATACTGGCCTCCTGTGTCCTCTACCTTGTCTTCCCTTGTCTGCATAAGCTAAAAAGGCCTGGCCATTTCCATCCCGCCAGGAAGAAACCAAAATGTGCTACTCCTCTCAGGAAAGGGAAATGCTGAAGTCAAGGGAATGAAGGGCTGTGGTGGGACTTGGGGCAGGATACCGAGAATGTCAAGCACAGGGGCTTCCCCGGCTTTACGGTCCTGCATATGCACTGCACTGTCCATCTCTGCACCTGCCCGTCCTGCTCTGACATACAGGACGCAGCTGGGAACGGCTCTCATGGGGGCTTCACTCCCGTATGTACTGCTGAGTACTTGCAAGGCACTGTAGTTGGAGTGCAAAGTCAGCAAATGCTGGTCTGTGCCAGGATCTGGCCCACCTTCTTAGGAGACTGAGGTCAGCTCCCCGGGAGCCAAGAGCACGCAGAAGAGGGCCAGCCTCCGTGGGCTCTTAGAGTGACAAACCGTTTCTCCCCTCAGTCCCATTTCTTAAAAATTAGGCTGTAACCCAGGCTGCCTGGAAGCCAATTTCTATTTTCTTTCTCCTTGGGCCTAAGATAGAATTTAGCCAGAAACCACTCCTTTTCCCCAGGGGAAGGCTTACAAATAGGATATTGCAGATGTTCTGAAAGTCCAACCCAGTCCCAAACTGTCCTTCCTCTGCCCCCAGTGTCACAGCCATGGAGCCTTGGGGAAAGAAGAGATGGAAGAAAAGGGAGGGGCACGAGAAAGGCTGCCTCCGCCCCCAATTCCCCTGACCCCACTCGGCTCCTCATCTCTGCCCCTTTCTCACAAAGGGCAGTGAGAGCAGTTCCTCTGGGAGGGCAAGACCCAAACCCAGGAAAGGAGCCTCTGGAGCAGAAAAGCCAGTCCAGTCCAGGGCAGAAGGTCAACAGGAAGAAAGGGAGATGAACTTTCAGGATATTAAGGCAAACAGTGCCACCTAGAATCTTTATTCAAATGGGAACCAGCACTTGGGACAGAAATCACAGTTCAACAGCAAAAACTATTTCTCTCAGAAGTGCCAAGCCACGGCGCCTCCCCACGGCCATGTGCCCAGAGAACTTATTCCTGTCTGCTCTCCAGCTTCATAGCTCCTGCCCTGCCTGCCCCAGCTGAGCCAGAACCTCCTGACACCACGGAGGCGGGCAGGAGGGTTACAGAGAGCTCAGCTTCTGCCTAACCAGATGGACCGTGGCCTCCTGGCTAAGCAGGCTCTGCCATCCTCCCCGGTGCCCTCTGAGGTCGCAGCCTCTAGCAGTGTCAGATCTGAGCCAAGCTGAGCCCTTCAAGGAAGGTGGGGATGAGGGCTTCAGGGAGAGTCAAGGGGACAAGGGCCAGGGCCAGGGGACGGTGCCTTCCAGGCTCACAGCCCCCGTCTAGTGCAGAGGCCCAGGCCCCGACTCTCCTGATCTTGTCCCCGTATCCCCTCCCCAAGGGGTTCAGTATATCTTCTGACGACTGGGTAGAATGGCCTCTTTGATGAAGGAGAAGACAACCAGGATCCCTAAGCGTTTGCCCCGCTTGCCTTTGGTGAAGTAATTGGAGACCACGTCATCTGTGGAGACATAGGCAGGGAGATGAGTGTGTGTGCCACCGTCTACATGTGAGCATGGCTCTCCCCACCTGGTGCCCGAGTGTTTCCATCACAGGGCTGGGCTCGGGCTCCCCACACGACCCAGGCCTTCCTGAGGTCATCCCACTGTGACCCATGACAAACCCCTTCTCACCTCCTGGCTGCATGGTGGAGGGCAGGACGTTTTCCCCAGCCGACAGGGACACAAAGAACGCAAACGGGATTATCCACAGACAGAAAGTGAAATAGGCCAGGACCTGGCAACAAGAGACACTGAGAAGACGGTGCCCTGGAGATGCCAAGGGTGGGTGACACATGGTCACCATGCATCTTGCAGAGGCGGTCAAGAATGCACAGAAGGCCCCGCACCTATCTCTGAAGGAGGCCAGGAAGCAGAGAGAAGGCAACCCCAGACATGGAGATAATCAGTGGGGAAAGGTGCAGGCCGAGGATGACCGAGTGGGACCACAATCCCCAAACCCTGGTCACTAGGACAAACTACTCTTCCGAACTAAAGGAAGCAGATGGAGGGCAAAACCATGACTGACCCATATTCCCCCCAAAAGTGATCTTGTTCTTCCCAGGGGTCCGAAATGGAGCAGAAGCATGTGGAGAACCCCTGAGAGGAAAAAAGCCTAGCAGGCTGCTGGGAGGAGCCGGGCCGCAGGGCTGCAAACTGCCCAGCCCCGTGAGGTCTGGGTCAGACAAGGCCACCCCAACGCCCCGTCCCGACCTCATGGTGTTAGGCTGTGATCCTGGGAGAACCAAAAAACTCCCTGGGGGAGAGCAGTGTCCTCCCCGCCTCAGCCAAAGACATCCCTGCCCCTCAGCCACACCACTTTCTAAACTCATCAATACTTTTTTTTTTAAATGTGTTATCCCCGAGTAGACTAGTTCAAATCCCAGCTAAGTTCACGAAGCAAATCACGCAAGTCCCCTTTACTTCCTCTGTCCCTGCTGGTAGTTTGATGTACCAAACACTTCTTACCTCTGAGAAAGGGTAATATTCTTCTGCAAAAAACTGAAATGCTAGGTAATGATTCACCACCACTAGCCCTGTTGAGGGAATGAAGAGTCAGTCAGTTTGGGGGGAAGACTGTAGAAGAAGCTGGACTTCTAACCTTCAAAAGGCCCCTGGGAGTTGGGAGCCCGAGTCTTAGTTCTGATCTTACACCCAGCTTAGAGTATGGCTATAAGCCAAGTACACTACCCTCCGAAACACAGTTCTCCCTCTTTAAAAATAGGGGGGTTATCTCCTACCTTCCCACTGCAGAAGGGTTAGAAGGCAGATAAGAAAGCTCTTTGAATGGCATAAGAATGAGACTGGTTACATAATCCAAAGCACTGTGACAATTAACCTGCTTTTAAATGGGTGTGAGTCCTCAAGAGTACCCTCCCCCGGATAGTGGGTGCAGGAAGTCATGTGTGGGCAGATAACATACTCCCAAGAGGTTCCACTCTGAACTGGGCAGACCTCTAATAAGGAGGCTTTCACTCCTCAGGAATACAAGGGCACAGTTTGCTAGATGCTCTGGGGTGCAATTTTAGGGTTCCTCCAAATTCTTGGGGAGAGGGTCCTTCCTCATTCTGCCCCAGGGTAGGGCTCACTGGTCTAAACTGGTATGTAAAGGACGCAGCCACATTTATGGAAGAGAGAGACAACTTGCAGATCCTGGGGTTGCGCTGCTCAGAGAAAGGCATCCCGGCCTGTTCTCATGGTGAGGTGAAGGGCAGG